AATATTAGGCCGTAGTGGAACTCTGCCTTCATCCTCAAGTATTAAGACCAATTGAAGTTGAATAAGATTCCAGTTTCTCGATAGTAACTACCTTTGTTAATATATGTACATGATTTTCTATAGTGTGAATCTTCTCCAAATTGATTTTACCATCTTCTAAGAGCGAACTAACAAAATAGTATTTAATGTCAATATGTTTCGTTCTTGAGTGAAATGCAGATTCTTTGCGAGATGTATATTACTTTAACTATCGCTATACGACTTGCAGTCATCAAGATTCTTGCCCAATTTACTTTAGAAATTTTGAAACCATACCATTTCCTTGCAAGATTCTGATATTGCTACATACTCTGCTTCTGTAGTATAAAAGGTTATAATCTTTTGTAACTGAGAGACCCAGCTAATTGCACCACTTCCAGGAGTAAACACATATCCGGTTGTGCTATCTTTCTGCTATTAATTTCTCTTGCAAAATCAAAATCAACATACTTATGCAAGCTTATCTTTGAGCCACCATAACACAGAGCCGTATCCTGAGTACCTTTCAGATATTGCAATATCTACTTGACAGCTTTCCAATGCTCTTTGCCAGGATTATTCATGAATCATTAACAACTCCCACCGCATGAGCAATATTTGGTCTTGTACAGATCATAACATACATCAAGCTACCAATGGCTGAGGCATAAAGGACCTTAGCCATGTCCTCTTTCTCCTCGTGTGTTTTTGCTCCTTGTTCTTTCTGCAATCTGAAGTGGCCTGCTATTGGGGTGCTAACAAATTTAGCATCCTCCATGTTGAATCTCCTAAGGACTTTACCAACATATTCTGCTTGTGATAGCTTTAATCTCTTGTTCTCTCTGTCTCTACTGATTCGCATTTCGAGAATTTGTTTTGCCGTACCCAAATCCTTCATTGCGAACTCTTTAGACAACTGCTCCTTGAGCTTAATAATTTCATCCATGCTTGAACATGCAACAAGCGTATCGTCTACGTACAAGAGAAGTATCAAATTAGAAGTGTTTAAGCTTTTTGTAATAACAACAATGATCACCATGTCACCTATGGAAGCTTGCACTTGTCATGAAGCTATCAAATTTCTTATACCGGGCACTTGTTTTAGCCTATACAAACTCTTCTTGAGTTTACACACCATACTCTCCTTCCTGTAATCACATAGCCTTGGGGTTGATGCATATAAATAGTATTTAATGTCAAACTCTCTTTTTCTCTCAATAACATCGCTACATTTCTCAAATCCTCACTTAGTGCTCAATTGTTTTTGACACTCACTCATTGAACACATATATAATGAACATATCCTAAGGCCTATTTATAGATTTTGTAAGGAAATTTATCATTTGACAAATACAACTTGAATTCCTCCTTTAGAAGTTGAAAAGTCAAACATGAACTTGATCAACCAATAAGCTTTCATTCATTGCTTGACTTGGTAGATTTACTTGTTTGAATTTTTTTTTAGTAGCAAAGAATAATTTGATAACTATAACTTATCCTCTAAGGAGGTAAAATTCAACTTTGATTTCACCTCTATCATCTTCCAACATTATCTCTAAAAAGTAAAATCAAAATTTGTTTCCACTTTTAACAATTTCCCAAAGAATCTTGTTGACGGCAGGTTGTATGGTGATAGTCAAAGTACTATACATCTGGTAAAAATTCTGCATTTCACTTAAAAAATATATTGACGTTAAATACCATTTTGTTCGTTCACTCTTAGAAGATAGTAAAATAAATTTGGGGAAGATCCACACCGCAGAAAATCCTATAGATATGTTAACAAAGGTAGTTACTATTGAGAAGCTGAAGTCATGTTCAACTTTAGTTGGTCTTAGTACTTGAGGATGAAGGTGAAGTTTCCACTGCAGTCTGATATTTGTCTCCAAGTGGGAGATTGTTAGAGGTGGAAACAAACTTTGATTTTACTTCTTAGAGATAATGTTGGAAGATGATAGAGGTAGAAGCAAAGTTAAATTTTACCTCCTTAAATGATAAGTTGTAGTTATCAAATTGTTTTTTGTTACTAAGAAGAAAATTCAAACAAGTAAATCTACCAAGTCAAGCAAGGAAATAAAGTTTGTTGGTTGATCAAGTTCATGTTTGATTTTTTAACTTTTAAAGAGGAATTCAAGTTGTATTTGTGAAATGATAAACCGCCTTACAAAATTTATAAATAGGCCTTAGGATGTGTTAAGTATATATGTGTGTTCTAAAAATAATTGAGCACTAAATGAGGATTTGAGAAAGGTAGAGTTTGTTATTGAGAGAAATAGAGAGTTTGAGATACTTCGTAATTTCTATTTGAAACTCGTTTTGTAATCCTCTATTTCTATTTTATAGTAAAGCTGCATTATTTATTGAGTAAAATATTTGTCCAAGTTTTGTTATTTTTCATTATCCTGGACAATCATCCCCAACACCTAGAACTTGTAAAAATTTGGTGGAACTTTTTTTTGAAGACGCTCTGACGGTCAAGTTATTAAATGACTAAAATTTGTAAAGGAGAATTGAAGAATGAATTAGAGCATATTTGTTCATAACTTGACCATACATAGCTTGTAATTGTTCATAGTTAGTGGAGTTTCCTTCTCATAACGAGGATGTTTGGCTAAGTTTTAAAGTTCCTTTTAAGAGCTTTTAACCTTAGCTAAACATGCCAAGTGCCTTGCTAGAATTAAACTTGGCTCCTAGTAATGATGATAATAGAATATATCTCTTATTTCAGTTAATAGAAATAATGAGACTGATTTTTCCACAACAGATGTTGGACCGGTTGTGGATAAAAATTATCTCAGAAAATCTCTTCCAATTTGATATGACAATTTCTATCACAGGAGATAAGGGGATTAGATTTTATTTTTATCATTACTGTAGTACAATTCGAAAAAGATTCTATTTTATGGACCTATGTTAACTATGGAAAAAATATCCTACAAGGTTCTGAGATATGGTCAAATTACGTTCCTAAATATATTCTTGATTAATTCTTTTCTCAAGTTTTCAGTTCTTTTCCTGACTTGAGTACCGGAGTGTCTCCATGGAATTACTCGCCCTCTTTTTACATGCGATGTTCTTGAAGTGATTCTGGCAAACCTTTGGCTGAATTGACGTTGAGATTTTGTTGATGAAAATTGGACATTATTAGTTCATAGGAATTCCCAGCTCTCTTTTCATAGTTGCTATTGAACTTTCTCGGAGTAATTTTTGTACATTAGCAAAGGTCGTTGGCAAAAATTGACATTGACATTTTGTTTATGAAAATTGATGTCAATAGTCCTTGAGGAGTTCCTTGCCTCTTTGTTGCATTTTCTGTTCATCAGTCTCATAGTAATTTTTGCATATCATAATTCACGTCGACATATGTTGATGAAATTGATGCCAAACGTAGAAGTTTGAATTGAAGTTGATATTAAGAAAGAAAAATTTGTTTTAGTTGGATATAATTTGTATGAATCTCACATTGGTTTTGTACTTGTGATATTTTTTTGGAAAGGGTAGAACTGCAGTGTGAAAATTTTCTAAATAGTCCTTTTTAAATGCAAATTGGCATAGCGAAAGACTACAGATATTCCACAATACTAAAAAATGCCTTTTCATTTTTACTTACTTAACATACAAATACCAAATTGTCGTTTACCACCTCTTAGAAATCTTTATAAGACTTTCTTCCAGATTTGTTTTACATACAAATACGAAATTGGTGTTTATCGCTTCATTATGTTACTTATTTGACTTCTGCAAATATTTTAGGTTATGTATGTATATCCTAGAACACGACTGTTTTTCCACTCAAGAAAATGATTTTCTGAGTATATTTTTATATTTCTTTTTTTTTTTTTTGTTTTAGCTTTACAGTTCGAAATTCCCTTTTAACTTTGTTGAAGGATTTTGGAATTTTTTTTCCCATTTAGTTATTAGTTACTTGAATTCCACTTTGTAAAGTTGTTAAGAGTCTTGGAGATGTAGGAAATGATGGAATTCCATACTTGGAACATTCGGTATGGGTTATCAGATGTAATTGACTATTTTATTCAAGATGCCCAGTTCGCATAAAATTTAGTGGCTATTCTATTCCTTCAAGGCTAGTAGCGAAAGAAAATATATCATTTTTACATATTGTTTGGAGTCATGGTTGATATTGATGATAGTCAATTGAGTATGAATCAGATGAACAATTTAGCTAACAAAATCTTGAGCTATTGGTGCAAAATTGATATAGGTGGAACTATATGCTGCTTTAAATCTTCAAAAGTTTGCAATGCTATCAAACAATGTTAGAAGTTACTATGGATTTTTCTTGTCATATGCACATAACAATTATGAAAGCTACTATTAGACCTGATGGTTTATTGTATGTATTGTTGGCACATGGTCCTGCGTAGATGAAGTTAGAAGATGGAGGGGTAAACCAAAAGTAATATGACCTATTTTGATTTCTATGGATCTAGTTGCTATGTAGTAGATGTAGTAGTGAACTGAATGGTTTGACAAAAAGATTTATGGTGGCCTATACAAGTTTTGGGAATAAGGCCTAGCTTCTTGTTATATATAGTTGCACATTTCCTGCTTAAACAATTCACTCCTGATGCTTGTGTTCCTTTCTTTTGGCTAAAGATGTAGTCTGTTAAATGTTTTCAAAATACTTGCTGTATCTGGAAAAATAATGTTAGGTAATACAACTTGTGCCCGTCAGTTTATATTTGACATTTTTAATGCATAATTTCAAGATAATGTTACTTTGCTGCTGATCAGGCATTCGTTGTTTGTCATTCTAAATAATTAATAGAACTGAGCATGTTTTGCAATGTTTCTCCCCCAGGTCATACAAGGAGATGTAGTGAAGTCAGAAGTGTGATCTTCCATGCTTTGACATTTGCATATCAAATATTACATATCAAATTTCCTCCCCTCTTACTTTCAAGTTATTAGCTCACCCGTTATTCAGGTGTGCAATTATAATGTTCCAAAGGGAATTTGCAATGAGGCTTGTTGCTCAACCTGGTGATAATCTTTACTGTCATCTGTCTGTGAACACTCAACTGTTGGCTCGGTTTAACCACTTGCTAGAAGTGGGAAAGAATAACTTCAGGCCTCCTCCTAAGGTTGACTCTTCAGTCCTCAGGATTGAACCAAGGAAACTGCTTCCTCCGGTGAATTAAGGAATGGGATGGTTTAGTTCGGATTTGCTTTAACCGGAAAAATAGAACTCTTGGTTCAATATTTAGGCAAAGGAAAATTCTATTTGTACAATCGGGTTGACAACCTGTCACATGTGTGCGGGGTCCGCATGTTTAAAAACTTCAAAAAAAGATAATGGACCCCCCATGTGAGTGGTTGTCAACTTCGATTGTACAACTAGCATGGTTTTCAAAATATTTGCTGTATCTGGAAAAATAATGTTAGGTAATACAACTTGTGCCTGTCTGTTTATTTTTGACATTTTTAATGCATAATTTCAAGATAATGTTACTTTGCTGCTGATCAGGCATTCGTTGTTTGTCATTCTAAATAATTAATAGAACTGAGCATGTTATGCAATGTTTCTCCCCCAGGTCATACAAGGAGATGTAGTGAAGTCAGAAGCGTGATCTTCCATACTTCGACATTTGCATAGCAAATATTACAAATCAAATTTCCTCCCCTCTTACTTTCGAGTTGTTAGCTCATCGCCCATTATTCAGGTGTGCAATTATAATGTTCCAAAGGGAATTTGCAATGAGGCTCGTTGCTCAACCTGGTGATAATCTTTACTGTTGTCTGTCTTTGAACAACTGTTGGCTCGGGTTAATCTCTTGCTAAAAGTGGGATAGAACAACTTCAGGCCTCCTCCTAAGGTTGACTCTTCAGTCCTCAGGATTGAACCAAGGAAACCGCTTCCTCCGGTGAATTAAGGAATGGGATGGTTTAGTTTGGATTTGCTTTAAACCGAAAAATAGAACTCTTGGTTCAATAGTTAGGCAAAAGACTGTCCGTTCAATACTAGAGAAGAACTATAAAACCTTGCAAGCATTACAACTTTAGCATGAGGGGTTGTCAGGTGATACAGAAATGGCCGTGTGTGTCACTGCTTTGGGAGACTCTCGGGGACCTGAGCTTGGACCCCGACGAAGGGAAAGATGAGGATATGGAGATGGACGAAGGGGATACAAAAGCTTCTGATTATAAAGATAGAGTTTTAGGTGTGTTAAATCAAGGAGGTTTTGAAGAAAAAAGATCTTCCAAACTCACACAAGAAGATTTTATGCACTTACTCTCGTTGTTTAACAAGGCTGGTATTCATTTTCCTTAGTTTTGGGACAAATTTTGACTAATTTTCATTTGTCCTCTTTTATTTTTTCTTTTTACATATACGTGTATGAATTCATTTTGTTTTCATTGTCGACTAAGGGAAATTATGTTGTGTAGTGTAGACGTGCATTTCCCTTTTTGTCTTTGTACAGATGATTTTTGGTTCTTCAATTTATTATAATAGTTAAGCATTTATGAAATGGTTCAGCATAAGAATAACACTGATTAGAGGTTGTTCAGAATGCTGATTTATATGGAGGGGGTACGGTGAAAGATGTGGGCCCGAACAACAAAATATAGGGAAAATTAGGCCTCATACTCTAAAAAATAATCCAATTAAATTAATACTCTTAATTAATTAAACATCATATAAACCCGTATTAATTACGTTCTAAATTAAAACAAAAATTCTAAGTGCCACATGAAATGGAACCGCCTCTTTCGAAGCCCAAAAACTCTGCCAACCACCACCCAAACCACCGGATCACCATACAGTTGGAAAGCTCTCATCACCCTCTACAATTCTCACCCAACATCTTGCTTCAAACTTACTAGAATCAGCTGAAAATTTGAGCCAAAATCGGCTGAACACGCAGCAAAATTTGGTCGAAAGCATAACTTTCGGCAACACTCATGTCATACCTACCCTAGAGGTCGATCAACCTCTTCATGGTGCACCTACAGATGTCTTCATAACAACAAACAAAACTGTAAATTCAGATTTGCAGAATTTTTTCTCCACAACGAACTCGGACCCTTCGATCATTATTTCCAGGGCCGTCGATGCAACCCATGGTCGCGGATCACCACCCCCACCACAGCCTCATCATGGCCCATCCAATGAACCCATGGGTAACATCCAATTTCGAACCAACATGGACGAATCAAGCAAGGCAGCTCATGCACAGGTTCTGTCTATTCCCAATCATTTGAGGACTCCACAAGACTTCAACCCATCAATTTTAGCATCCAACCTTCAATTAATGTTGGTATAACAATGGGCCATTCATCAATTGCATCAGTTCCTCAATTAAACGGACCAATTTCGGGATTGGACTCAAGAACAAAATGGGCGAGTGAAATTAACGTTTTGCATACAATTGAAGGTCAAAATCTGCTCCAATGAGTTGATCAGCTATTAAACGGCCACGGCTTGTTTGGACTCCTCAACTGCATAAGAGATTTGTGGATGTTGTGGCTCATTTGGGGATCAAAAATGCTGTGCCCAAGACTATAATGCAGTTGATGAGTGTGGATGGACTTACAAGAGAGAATGTTGCTAGCCACTTTTTTAAATTTGTCACTTTTTTTAGTATTTGTCACTTTTTTAGTGTTTATTAGTCACATTCTTGATTTTTATCGCTTTTTTTAGTGACAAACGTCAGTTTTTAGTAAAAGTGACATTGTATGTCATTTTTTTAATAAAAAAATGTCACTTAACTTTCAAAAGTGACATTGTGTCACTTTTTTAGATTGTCACTTTT